ACACATACGTCGTCGTTGAACAAAATATATGCATCCAAATTAGTCCATCAACCATTGGACCTGAGATCAAAACCGTGGGATTCACAGAAGGTCTCTGGACTTAAGGACCTATTAGGGGCTATGTTCAAATTAAATGAAATAAATAAATGTTATATGATTCTGTGTGAGAAATAAATCTCTACTTTTTTTTATTCCAAGTGATGAAATAATGATTTCAAAACATTCCAATTTATTGACATCCACCTGTATTTAACTTTCTAAATTTACAAAGCTTACAAAACTGATCACTGTATACAACAAGTAGATGGTTGTGTATAAGGATAGTGAGTTTTGGATTTTAATATATTTGTATAAATATCCAGTCAGTTTTAGACCTTTGCCCTTCAGGTCGGAAGTGTTGGATTTTTTTTAACACACCTGAGTCGGCTACTTTTCTGAGTTTCAATAAAAAATAAAGGTGTCAGATTCTTGTTTCTTATACCCATTTTATGCCATTCAAGTTTGTATAGGGTGACCGGAGGTGGGGAAAAGCCTACACAGACCGGTTATTTACATTAAATCCTAAACAAAACATCACCAAATAATTGGACGTTACTGTGAAGGAAGCCTTTTCACCTGGAGAAACAAACCCCCACTTGTACAAAAAGAACAAACTCCATGGGAACTCTAAAATTGATTCTTGTGCTTTTTTTTTTTTTGCAGCTCGGCAGCAGCACCATCCTCCCTTTCCAACAGAGTGATTTATTTGGGGTTTTCGGTTGAGGCCGTCTTTTATCTTTCACCCTCTGTGAACCATTACTGGAAGAAATCAGGTGAAAAGACAGGCTTCCTTTATTACTTATTATTCACATGTATAAGTGATGAAACATAAGACGTGTTTGCATTAGACATAGCCTAGTTCAATCCTAATGGTGCAGTACCGACAATTTGTGTCAAACGTGTAATCTGTCTGAAATAACACAGTTGATTTCGTTTAGTAAGTCATTGATACTGCAGTCATGTCTCTTCCTGGACAAGAATGTGGCAACAGTGGAGAGGAACAACTTTTTAACAGGTGAAAACATCTTGTAAATGGAGGCTGGCTATTGTTAGAACTAAAATGACCAACATTTCCCATAATTGTTCCAACATATTAGACGTAGTGGAAAAGGTAAAGAACAAAAATGCTATGATGGGATTGTTTCTGCGTTTGCAGCTGACAAAAACCTCAAATTCAGATTATTAGGAAGTTTGAAACATTACATTTTGAAAGGAAATAAAATGCTATGTAATTGTTACAGAACTCACAGAGCATAATTCTGACTTGACAGATCTCCAGCAGACAGTCATTGCACCATCCATGAGAAAAAAAACAAAGATTATTACTGAAGAAACTGGCTGTTCACAGAGTGATGTATCGTAGCAAATGATTAGAAAAACCTGTGGAAAGAAAAACAGTTTAAAAGGGGTGTTCAAACAATATGGATAATTGCAACCATGAGAGGATTGTAAAGCAAAGCCAATTTAAAGGGTTGAGAGGAAGCACAAGACATGGACCGAGGCTGAAGGCAAAGCTTCACCACACTGTTCAAATACTTCCTTTATTACAGCTAACATAAAACCCCAAACTTCAGGCATGTCAATGAAAAAACTTTAATCAAGTGACTTTATATGAGTTTTGATTGTCTAATTTATTAGAGATACACATGCAAATGGCAGTGTAAGGCTCTAATGTCAACACGAAGATTCACACTTTCAACTGATAAATCATCAGTGCAAGTACAACTTAGTTTTTTGAAGAATCACTGGAAGATTCACACCGTCTGAACTCAAACATAAAACATTTCATGTTCCCTTAAAAAAAAAAAAAAACTCCAATTCAGATAGAATCCATTTATTAACACCATCAGTGGCGCAAACTCACAAATCAACTGCTGCCACTGTTCTTGTGTGGCCTAGATCTAATTTTGCCCTACAGTTTTCAATTTAAGCTAACACATAATTGTTTCTTTATCTGATCGCATCTAACTGAAGAGTTTTTCTCTTACGATGGTAGAAATTGGGAAATGATTCTAAATCAAGATAATCTCTACTTATTAAAGTAGAGATTATCCCGGTTTTAAAAGCATGAAACATTTCCGAATGTGAGCATTTTGTCACAGACAGAGAGAGAGAGATGCTGAACAATGCAGCTGCTGCTAATAAGTAAATAAATAAATAATAAATAAATAAGAGAGAAGAAGAAGTGTGGGAGTGAGATGTGATTGAGTCATGTGATCTCCTCCTCTTAGTTTCTATGGCATCACTCATGGACCATTTATCCACCTAATACGAAAGAAGTGAGCGAGTGAGAGTTGTTTTTTTTTCCTAGGATGAACGAAGAGGAGGATTTATGTCATATCAGTCAGCCTGTATATTTTCTGCAGGCGGAATGATGGTCAGGTACCCACTCACACTCTGAAAGAAAAACTGTGGAGGCAGAAACGTCTGTGACTAGTTTCCTGGGCCCTTGGCGAGAGTGGTTATACAAGGTAGCTCTCGTTTTCCTCATCTATTTTATAGAGAACACAGACTCTGATAAGATTTGACAAGGTAAGCCATGTGTCCTTATGGTGACGCATAAACACATCAATGTAGTTGAAGCATTACAAATAACAATAATAATAAAGAAATCTGAACTACCTCCGTAGGGTGTTGCCAGAATAAATTCAGTGTATTTTTTGTTTCTTTTTAAATCTTCCATCACAAAATGCACAAAACTGCATTGTCTAGAGGAAGGAAATTATAATCTGAGGGTTACTAACTGCATTTCAATTCATCCCATTTACTCTGACATCCCTAAATGAAATCCGTGTCAGTATCTTTGCCTAATCCAGATGAAAAATGTGTAATTAACTACATATTATAGACATGACCTTTAGCTATAACTTAGAGCTTTTAAATAATTCTCGTGTTAAGACATGATTGATTAAGCAGTGCCTCATTTCTTACGTTAGGAGTTTAAGCAACACTTAGGAGGTGAACAGTGCTGTCTACAACCCATGAAGTGCAAAATGAAAACGGGAACCCCCCCCAAAAGAAAATTTGAGTAACTCTTTGGTTACTGCCCACCAGCCTGCAAACCGAGTCTCCATGGTAACTGACTTCTATACTGCCTCATGATTGGAGGTATTTTCTCCACAGATCCAGATGTCCTGTGTTGTCAGTCCAAAACACAGCGGTCTTTCAGTTTCAGTTGAACATACTTTGTGTGCACTTGCAGCTGCGTGTAACTCACTGTTGTGGTATTCATGACTAAAAGACGTAGACTCAAAGTGATATGTGGGCTTTTCCACATCTACCTGTAACAGAAAATGTGCCTGAAATCACAAAGACTGTTGGGATCCAAAACTGAGTTCACGCAGCTAAACTAAAAATTGATAAAATCTGCCATCTTTAAATGATTATCCGATAACAATCTAACTATTTTAGTAGTTCACAACCAAATAATGTCAGATGGAAAATTTCACAATTGACTTTACAAAAAGACGTTGACTGGCTGAATCAGATTCACTTTACTTGAGTTTCATATTGACAATACTTTGGATATAGATAATTGTCATGATCCATGAGGTGTTTTCAGTTATGGATGTTTAATTCTCCCGATTGCTTTGTCACTTCCACCCCTTCCTCAGTATATGGGCACATCGGTTTATCCTTACGTCAACCTATCTACGTGTTTCCATGATTCATTCTGCTACCATCTCTGTTAGTTTTTCATTTTATTAAAGTTCTTATTTTTCAAACAATGTTTGCTCTAGAGTTGAGTTTTTGCCAATAACAAATATGACCCCCATATTTCACAGAAAACCTTCTTCTTTTTTTAGTTTGAATTGTTTATTTTCTCAAGGCTTATTCCATCCTGCTCCCCATAAATAAACTTTTTCCTTTCAACTCATCTTCCCTATGCTTAGACGAATCACTCTATGAACATCCATCTTTTTTTAAAAAAAAAAAACATATGACCACAACCTTGGACTTCTTTTTGTAATGAAAATCTCCTTTTAAGTGTCTAACATAGTTAAAATTTTGAGAAGCAGAATTGTCGTGTGCACATAGATTAAAAGAATTAACTGAGTAAAACGAGTTTGTGGCACCAAAATACGTAAACTATTTAATATAACTCCAAATCATTGAGATGCGTTTTGAGAATAAAACTGAAAAAAATTAAATAAATCAAAATCTTGCTTTGTGTCTAGCTCCGCCCCTGTTTTAAACCCCACTCTCTCTCCCTTTCTCCGTTTTGCTTTCCTCCCTCCCCCCCCCCTCTCTCTCTCTCTCTCTCTCTCTCTCTCTCTCTCTCTCTCCCTGTCCCCTCGTTCTCTCGCTTTTCAATCTTCTCCGTCCTACCAACAACAAGTGAGGACCAGCTCTGCACCGTCCATCCGCTCTCCGTTCCGCGTCGGGGCTTTGAGTTGAGTTATAGATGTCTACTGGAATTTCTTTTCCCCTCGTCCATTTCACTGCTTAATCGATGAGGATGACAGATTGCAGGTGCAGCGGCGGCGTGCGTTAGAGCCAGCAGGGACGGTGTGTGGTGCACTAGGACCGGGGAGAGACGGCTCTCATCGTGAGCACTGGAGCTGTGGAGGGAACCCCCCCTCCCCCGCCCCCCCCCCACACACACACATTGGATCTGGCGATTATATCCATACATTTCTCTTTTTCTCCCCCCCCTCCTCCACCCCCCACTCTATCGTGTCCACGGGGATCGCACCAACGAGTGTATTCAGGAAGCACACAAGAGTGGATATCTAATTTGGCTTAAAAGTCAGCTATTAGATATTTTTTGTTGTCTTTTGAAAAAAGAAAGAGGGTGATGTTTTCTTAGGTTCTAGAAAAATCTTTTTTTTTTCTTCTCTCGGTCTGTACGTTTATCTCCAAGAGCGCAAAGTGACATCTGCGCCAGAAAGCGCCCAGTGGACTTTTATTTTCCTCCAAAAAAAAAAAAAAAAAAAAAAAAAAAAGAAAGAAAGAAAAAGGGGGGACAGAAGCATACACAAACCTTTATTCTTGTTTAAATTACAGTCGGGTGATTGGCTGAATGGGTGACCTCGCAGAAACACAGATCACCTCCAGCTTGCAGCCGCTGTACGCGCACGGTTTTTTCCTCCACTAACCGGGAGTTGTGATGTCCAGAGCTTTCCCCGCTGACTGACACTCGGCGTCGTACCATTTTGGAACCGAACTGAAGGTAGGCCAGTTTTGCTTCTTCCTCCTCTGGGCTTGCTTACGTGTTATGGTGCAATTTGGCAAAGTTTTCAAACGTCAGTTCAAGAAAAAGAAACAACTACCTCTATGATTATTTCAGGCGACGCATTTCTCCTGTCTCACTCTGGGGTTTCTCTCGGACAACCGAAGTTGGTACAAAAACAAAACGAGGTGCAGGGAACGCAATAAGCCTGACGCTTGGAGGAGAACTTCAGCACCTGGCAGATAATATCAGCGCCAATACCTGTAGGTTGCCACAAATGATCGGAGAATTGGATTATTTTTCGAGTGAAATTTCGGCCACTGTTTCGAGCTCAATCATGGAGATTCCGGAGGAGCCCTCTGCAGTGCAGTGTCTCGTACATGCACGGAGCCGCCGGGTTCACTGGAGCTCACTCAGGAGAGGATTTAGATAAAGGTGTAAGCGAAACGGAAGCTCTTCCCGAAGGCAAGCCTTATTAATACACACAATCCATCCTTTTATACGAGCTGCAGGTTCGGCAACAAAGCAGACTCGTAATAACGCACACGCATTAAAACTTGAGCTGTGTGCGTGTTTGTGATGCAGTTTGAAAGGACTGGATGAGGCTTTGCGTCACTTGTTTCAAATAACCTAAAAAGTCGTACAGATTTCTGTCCTGAGGGGAATGAAAGGGAAAACAGGAATGTGACCATGTTGGAGCAGCCGATCAGGGCTCATTCCGATCTACCCCCCCCCCCCCCCCCCCGAGGATGGCGGCGAGGCGGTCCGTTGGGTGGAACCGGAGGGATACCGACGCATGACGCAGGAATCGGAGCGATGGACAGGGGATTGTGTGTTCTGCTGCTGATGTCCCGCATTTATCGTTGTTTCTAAGGCTGCGTTTGTTCAAGCCCGGTTCAGTCAGAGAGATTGCGGGTGGTCTGCCCGTCAGCGAGCATGTGTGCTTTGAACGAGCCAACACGCACGAGTTAAGTCTCTCGCTGCCTCTCTCTTATATAGGTTTGCCAAGGCCGTTCACATTGTTTAAAAGTCAAACTCGACCACAACTGTGAATGTTAGCAGACACCCAGCTCGGACATAAACCCGGTTAATCGTACCTGGCAGCTTCCCCCCCAATCCCTCCCCTTCTCCCCGACCCCCCCTTTCTTATAATCTTGTCATAGGCCTACAACTAATTGCGCTTTCAGGGGCCACTTAGAGGTGAGCCACGTCTTCATCCAGCTTCGTTAACAGCTTTTAAAGAACCTGAGTGAAAAATGTCTTCTTTCTCTAAAACATGATCAGTGCGGGGTTTTTTTTTGTTTTTTCTTTGCTCGGAGCTCAGAGCCCGTCGTTAATGAATTCGCAAAGTCGCTTGTGTCTGATGTTGCAAAGTGCGGCAGATAACTGGCAGCTCGTCGCTCCCGCCGGCAGCGCCTAGTCAGAAGGATGATGACAGGAACTGTCCGTGGTGCTCAAACAGACAACTCCTTTGTTCGAGTCTGGCCTCATTTTGTGGAGTTGGTGCTGCGGTAACTCTGCCGTGAATCCGACTCTAAAATGCTTGAGCTGCACGACCGAGATTAAAACATGCGAGTGTCTGATGCTGATCGCCAAAAAAAAAAAAAAAAAAAAAAAAAAAATCCTTTTTATGAAGTAACATGTTATGATTACCTGCTTAATGGTGTGTTTTGTCCCACTTTGGCTGACAGGAAGACCTGACCTGTAGAGGGTTGAACTTCATTAGAGCCCTGAAAGTGACCTGGGGTATTTAGCAGCATCATGTTAGGCCTCTTCAGTCCTGGGTGTTTATTAGCCACCTTCCTCAGATGTGATGGAATCGAGATGTCAGGAATTTGTTGAACCATTTCTGTCTCTGTGGCAGACAATATTCCATGTAAAATTTCCTCTTGGACTTTTCTGTGTTTTGACCCTTACTGGAAAACTTTGTTTAGAACTAGGTTTCATCCAAAATATCAACGTTCATTAAACAATTTGGATTTCCAGTGAAATCAGGAGAATAACAATAGTATATTCTTGATTTAAAAGCCTAGTTGTATAGGAAATAAATTAGTTTTTTTTTTATCCTATTGCTTTTCACTAATGTGCTTTTGTGACCCGAGGGAAGGAGTTCAAACTAGTTGTTGTTGATGGACACTGAACTCTGCTGACTGAGCAGTCCATATGAAATATGCAGTATTTGGTCCCCACAAAGCCCGCTTCAGAATTCCTGTTTCACCTACTTCTTACATCAACTTTGAGGACTAAGTGCTTGCTGGCTGCAAAATATATCATGATGAAATGACCATTTCTATTTGCTTCACATGTTGGAGGTCTTGATGTGAGGCCTGACTTGTGTACATGATTGTTTTTGGTACAAGATCACGTTTTTTTTTTTTTCCTCTGTTACAACATTGTGCACTCAGAATTCATTGACGGGTCATTTGTGAAAATGGACTATATGGAAGAAATTATGTTGATTCTCTAAAAATAAAATGTGAGCTTGTAATCTAATTTAGGTAACTTAAGATTACACAGAGGGCTCACTTTGATGTCTTTAATGCTCATAACGGAATATCATATCACAACATACATTCTCGTCCTGTAAACTATGTACAACATGCTGCGGTTCTGAAATTAATCAACATTTCAATTCAAAGACACTTGAAAGAGTTAATTATTCAAGAGTACAGTTTTGTGTTGAAACTGATACAAACTGACCCATTCTCATTTTCCGAATTGTATCACTTCTTCCAGCAGCAGTACTGCAATAACAGTCCCTCCTCCTGTCCCTGCAGCCGCTCACCCGACCAAAATTATGACCTACAGCTGGAAGTTATAAACTATGCTAACATGACGATTACATCGAGAGAAAAATGAATACTGTCTTTTGTCAAAAGGGCAAGCTTAAAAAATCTTCAGAGATACTTCAGAGAAAAAAATGACTGACAAATGATGCCACATACTAGCTGCACTAATACATGCTTGCCAAGTTTTGGATTTAAAAATAAGGGACATTTTCCCGCCGTTCCACCAAGCCCGATCGAGGTCCAGTATCCTTTACATTTTAAGATTTACAAGAAATTTAATATAACTACGTCAACCACTTACAAACTACAATTAGGTGCTCATACTCTGAAAAGCCTACCTGTGTTAACACTCAAATGTTGTGGACATTCTTAATTACTCAAGCCCCATAATAGAGCCTAAATGAAAACACAAAAGGAAACTGAACCACATTTATTTATTTTATATATTCAACCATATCTATTCCCTTGAGTGAAACAAAGTCGTTTATGCAAAAATTGCATGTGATTTAGCCTTGGACGTGAATCTATGTGAATTTATTGGTGTTTGCATAATTTGTCTTAAAAAACAGAAAAATATCAAAAACAACTCAATGACACACTCTTTCTGGTTGATTGCGGTCCTCAGCATGTGATCTGTGTTTTTCAGAGCACCACTTTTGGTGGAAAACCTTGTTTGTTCCTGCTGTCGGCCCCTGCCGCGACCTTGGTGGCAGTTCTCCTGAGGCTAGTGAAAGATTTCAGTTTGGAGAAGGACAGGGATGTTTATCATTATTATTATATCGGAGATTTACATGAAATTAATAATACAGTAGGATGTCAGGAAAGAGGGTTGAAATATGTCAGTTTCCTGACTAATACGGGAGACTTGATGGGTACGTGCTAATGCTATGACGGATGTGTGGGAGCAATGTAAGAAGGTCAGAAAAGCCACAACAGTAAAATGGTAAACGTCCATAACAAGATGGGCTAAGGCTTATGTAAATATTTGCTTCACAGATGTGTTCTGTACCAAAGTCCCAAGCCAAGCAAGAGTCCATTTGTACCACGCTGTGGTACAAATTAAACCAGGATGACGTTAATCCCCTGGTGGCTGAGTTGGCTACTAATTAGTGAGGCAACAAAACAAACCAGTGTACCCCCTCTGTTACTCTACCATTTAGCTGTAAAGACATTGAAGATTAATGTGGCAAATAATAGCAAAGGTACATGGTGGAGCCAGACTGAAGCTGACAATTGGAGCAGAAGAAAAGGAACCCATGGCAACCTACCTTGCTGTTCTGGGTGATCAATTGAGAAAAATATTCAGCACAATTAGTAGAAAGACAGAAATTGTACAGGAATCCATTTGCATGAACCATTTTTTTTACTCTGTAAAAGTAGGTTTTGTATGCATCACATACATGTTTGTTATGAAATCTAATTTATTTTAGTAAAGAATGATTCTCTATTTGTCCATCAGGAAAATCATCATAAAGCTAACAGGAAAGTAGAAGCTCAAGGTGGCTTAGCTTTGTATTAGCAATTATAAAAAAATAGTTGCACAAACGAATGAACCAGACATACTTCCACAAAGGACTATAACACTTGTACTGTTAGTTTGCCAAAAGTTCTACCAAAAAAGGAAGCAACATCTAAATCATTACTTTTTTAAAAAATTATCCTCTATTTACTGGTATTTCCCTAATTGCAGAAGTTAATGATATTGTCATGATTAATCGTATAATTCTTACAACCGTTCTTTGGACTGAGAAGTAGTTTGTATAATAAGCCCAGCAGATTCGCAGCTAATTGCTGCTGCCTCTAGTCTGGAGGAGCTGAGGGGGGGAAACTGTGAGGAAGGGCTGGTCTGTGGGGCAGAAGCTCACCTGGAGATTGCCCCTTCAAGGAGGAACTGTGTGGAAACTGGTGGTGTTTTGTATGAACAATTATTTTGACACCCTGAGTAACTCAAGGATGATTCAAGGATGGGAGAATCAAGGATTTCTCAAACATGCATGAAAGAATCAAAGCAACATTCCATGCATGTTTTTGGTGAGGGAATAACACGACAACACGGTCTTAGATGATATCACTCACTCCTTTAGGGAGTACAAGAGGAAGTATAAATCTTTGAGATCTCAATCACATCTGTGACGAGTAACCAAGTCTCATCCATGGAGGCCTCAACTCATCTACAACTTTAAACTCTGAAAGGATCTGCTGTAAACATTT